TCCCGTGAGGGTGGGTCGCGGGATGGGTCGCGGGAGGGTCGCGGGGTGGGTCGTGGCTGGGTCGCGGATGGGTCGCGGATGGGTCGCGGGGTGGGTCGCGGGTGGGTCGCGGGGTGGGTCGCGGGTGGGTCGCGGGTGTGTCGCGATGTGTGTCGCAGGCGGGTCGCGGGTTGGGTCGTGGGGTGGGTCGCGGGGTGGGTCGCGGGGTGGGACGACGGCAGCAAACAACAACACCAACAACAACAACAACAACATCATCAACAACAACAATCATTACATGACTGTTCGCCCTTCTCTGCCCGAGTGTCCAATAACGCGTATTTCCCAAGCCGTCGATACCCGACCTCTTCGTCTTCAATCGAACCCCTTTTGGGGGGTAGACCTTTCTTCCCTGCAGGCCGGGCCCCGGCAAGCGGCGGGGCGGCCACGGACCGTTGGCCTGGCCAGCAGCAGCGCTGATCGGCGGGGCGGCCGCGGACCATCGACCCGACCCCAAGAGGGACGGACAGGGGACCGACCACGACGACGACGACGACGTCGACGACGACGGCGACGCCGACGAGCGAAACCGAGAGCGAGAGAGAACGACAGCAGGGCCACAAGGACACAAAGAAGACCACGATGGGCGACAGCGGGGACACGAAGGGAATGCGTATGGGGCCACGAAGAGCGCGAACGAGCGGGGGCCACGAAGGGCAGATAATGCGGGGCCACAGAAGGCAACGATGGTGCCACTGAGGGTAGCATCTGGGCCATGTGGGACAGTGAGGGGGCCACAAACGGCGACAGCGGGGCCACGAAGAGCATGCACATGGGGCCACAACGGGCGCGATCGAGCGGGGGCCACGAAGGGCATACGTCAGAGTGAAGGGGCCGAACGGTCATTCACTGTCCCTGGATGCGTGGCTGAAGTGGGATTCCGCGGTGCGGACTCGTGTTGTTGTTGTTGGTTATTGTTTGTTGTTGTTTGTTGTTTGTTGGTTGTTGTTTGTTGTTGTTTGCTGTTTGTTGGTTGTTGGTTGTTGTTGGTTGTTGGTATTGGTTGTTGGTTGTTGGTTGTTTGGTGTTTGTTGTTTGTTGTTTGTTGTTGTTATTGTTATTGTTATTGTTATTGTTAGTGTTGTTGTTGGTGTTGGTGTTGCTGTTGCTGTTGTTGTTGTTGTTGCTGTTGCTGTTGTTGTTGTTGTTGTTGGTGTTGTTGTTGTTGTTGTTGATGTTGTTGTTGTTGTTGTTGTTGTTGTTGTTGTTTGTTGTCGTCGTCCCACCCGCAACCCGGCCCGCGACCCACCCGCGACCCACCCCACGACCCAACCCGCGACCCACCCGCGACCCACCCGCGACCCACCCGCGACCCACCCCGCGACCCACCCCGCGACCCACCCCGCGACCCACCCCGCGACCCACCCCGCGACCCACCCCGCGACCCACCCGCGACCCACCCGCGACCCACCCGCGACCCACCCGCGACCCACCCGCGACCCACCCGCGACCCACCCCGCGACCCACCCGCGACCCACCTTCGACCCAAACCACGTTCAAGGTACAAACCAACATTTTCGGCGCCTGCGGCGGGCTTTTTTTGCATTCCTTCCAGGTGGAGAGCCCGCGACCCACCCCGCGACCAACTCGCGACCAACCCGCGACCCAAACCACGTTCAGGGTACAAACCACATTTTTCGGCGCCTGCGGCGGGCATCTTTTGCATTCGTTCTAGGTGGAGAGACCGCGGCCCACCCGCGACCACGTTCAGGGTACAAACCAATTTTTCGGCGCCTGCGGCGGGCATCTTTTGCATCCGTTCCCGGTGGAGAACCCGCGGCCCACCCGCGACCCAAACCACGTTCAGTGTACAAACCAATTTTTTCGGCGCCTGCGGCGGGCTGCTTTTGCAGGAGGACGAGGAGGAGGAGGAGGAGGATGAGGAGGAGGAGGAGGAGGAGGAGGAGGAGGAGGAGGAGGAGGAGGAGGAGGAGGAGGAGGAGGACGACGACGACGTCGACGACGACGACGAAAAGGAGGAGGGGGAGGATCGGGAGGGGGGGAAGAGGAGGAGGACGACGAGGAGGAACATGACGACAATGGGAGGACGATGATGGAAGGACGAGGGGGGGAGAGGGAGGACGAGGAAGAAGAGGAGGAGGAGGAGGAGGACGAGATGGAGGAGGAGGACGACGATGACGATGAGGACGAGGACGAGGACGAGGAAGAGGAGGAGGAGGAGGAGGAGGCGGAGGCGGAGGAGGAGGAGGAGAGCGCCATCGACAGGGAAGGTGGGGGCCACGAGGTCCGCCGGCTTGACGACGCCCGCGTCGCCCGCGCCCGCCCCCTCTCTCTTATCCGCAATTGCGGGGTGCTACGTATACTGGGCCGCTGTGGGCAAGAACGGAGCCACTGAGGGCAGCAACGGGGCCACGAAGGGCAGCGAGGGGGCCACGAAGGGCGACAGCGGGGCCACGAAGGGCGTGCATATATGGGGCCACCACGGGCGCGAACGAGCGGGGGCCACAAAAGGCATACATATATGGGACCACGAAGGGCAGCGAGGGGGCCATGAAGGGATGCAACGGGGCCACGAAACAAAGCGAGGGGGCCACGAAGGGCTGCGACGGGGCCACGAAGGGCTGCGACGGGGCCACGAAGGGCAGCGTGGGGGCCACGAAGGGCTGCAACGGGGCCACGAAGGGCTGCGACGGGGCCACGAAACAAAGCGAGGGGGCCACGAAGGGCTGCAACGGGGACACGAAACAAAGCGAGGGGGCCACGAAGGGCTGCAACGGGGCCACGAAACAAAGCAAGGGGGCCACGAAACAAAGCGAGGGGGCCACGAAGGGCTGCAACGGGGCCACGAAGGGCTGCGACGGGGCCACGAAGGGCAGCGTGGGGGCCACGAAGGGCTGCAACGGGGCCACGAAGGGCTGCGACGGGGCCACGAAACAAAGCGAGGGGGCCACGAAGGGCTGCAACGGGGCCACGAAACAAAGCGAGGGGGCCACGAAGGGCTGCAACGGAGCCACGAAACAAAGCGAGGGGGCCACGAAGGGCTGCAACGGGGCCACGAAGGGCAACGAGATCCCGATTCCTAGGTAATCTGTGAGGGAGTCCTAAGCGTGAGCGCGACTCCTGGGTGCCTGGGTGTCGGGAGCGCGGCGCTTGAGTGAATTGGAAGGAATTCCAACGCACGGGCGCTATTCGTCAGTAAATTGCAAGCGAGTCTCCAGCGAGAGCGCGGCTCCAGAGCGCCGGGAGAGCGATTCCTGAATAAAGCGTAAAAGTCCCAAGCGAGAGCGCGATTCCTGAACAAAATGCGAGGAAGTCTCGGGCGGGAGCGGGGGTCCAGGCAAAATTGTGAGGAAGTCTCAGGCGGAAGCCGTTGTTGTTGTAACCCAGGGGCCAGGGGCACAGTTTGAGCCTCAAGACTTTCCCTGATAAAAAAAGGGTGCGAGCGTCGAGGGGCACACTTTCATTGAGAAACAACAGTATGCACCGGTGGGAGGGGATCAACAATCATGATTCAGAAATGAGAACTCAACAACAACAGCAGCAGCAACAACAGCACCACCACCACCACCACCAACAACAACAACAACAACAACCGCAGCAGCAACAACAAGAACAACAGCAGCAGCGGCAGCAGCAACAACAACAAGGACAGGGACCTTCCCTGGGCCCCGGCGCTCGGGCTCCTCCAGAGCTCTGGGGCAGGAGTCGTCCCCGGGCCCCAGGGTCCCCCCCCGAAACAACAACAACAACAACAACAGCAACAACAGCAACAACAACAACAACACTAATAATACACATAACACTAACAACAACAGCAACACAAACACCAACAACAACAGCAGCACCAACAACAACAACAATAACAACAACAACAACAGCAACAACAACAACAACAACGACAGCAGCAGCAACAACAACAACATCAGCACCAACACCAACACCACCACCAACAACAATAACAACAACATCGACAAACACAGCAGCAACAACCACAGCAACAACAGCAACAGCAACAGCAACAACAACAACAACAACAACCGCAACAACAACAACGCCGGGAATGCATACAACATGTAAGCAAAAACCTGAGGAGTCACTCAGGACTCTGGTGCTGAATCGAATTCCTTATTCAGCCACGCACCCAGGGACAATGAATGACCGTTCGGCCCCCTCCCTCTGGTACATATATGTGTGTACATGCGCTTTTGGAAGTTCAATTGCCGTTTGGGGGATTCCAAGAGCTTCTGAAGGCCTCGGGAAACCTCGGAGGCCGAAGGGTAATGCAGAGACACCTGGAGGCCTGGAGGTCTCTGGACACGTGCGGACGCCCTCCGGCAGCCGCCAGGAAGGCAGGCGCCGGGAGGACGCAAAGGTGGGTGGGGCAGGGGACAGAGTCGGACAGGGGTGGGGGTCGAAGGAACGCTGCTCCGAAACGGCGCCTGGACAGAGGACACGTGGGCATCCAACGGGGCTTGTCCCCGAAGCCCACCTTGGGGGACAGCCCCCCTCTGGGAACCCCCGAAGGACGAGGTCAAAGGAAAAACAACAGGCGGGCCCAGGCCCAGCCATGGCCACGAGGGCGCCCCGGTAGGCCGAATGCTGGACGACGCCGACGGCGACGAACGGGACGGGAACGACCTGGGGGGACAAGAAGAGGTGCGGATATGCCGTCAAGCCGTATCAATGAGGATGCGCGGCAAGGGTGCAAGGGCCTCGGAGGGCCACGCCGACGTGTTTCGACCGAGGCTGGCCAGTGAAAGTCGCTACGGATGTGCCCAATGGGGCAAGGATGCAAGGGGTGCCCCTGGGAAGGGCGCCCCTCCATGCCGTGCGGGTGGTCTGCTCTGCCATTCCACGGACATCTCCCGGGGTGCGTTCTGAGCAGGATTTCCAGGAGAGACCAGCCGTGGCGACGAGGACCCTCCAGGACGAGCAGCGGTGGCGGAGTCGGCCTCCCCCCTCTCCGTGGACGGGCGACGGCGGCGGCGGCGCGTTCACGCCTGTTGGTCCAGAGCCTGTCCAGCTCCTCCAACGGCAGCTCGGCCTGCCGGGCCGGAGGCGTCCAAGACAGGGGCTTCGGGGATCGTGGCCCGAGGCACGTGCGCGGACGAGGGCGGGGGTGGCAGGAGACGTGCTGAAAGAAGAAGAGGAGGAGCCAGGAGATCTGTGGGATATCATGGACCCCGCGCTGATACCCAAACCTCCACAGTGATCTTGGCGGCGCGCACAGGGGGGGTAGCGGGAGGGGGGAAGTCTTTTCAGGAGGCTGCTCCTCAGAAGGCGCGCGCCTTCTAAGAAGCATGGGTGTTCCTAAGACGCCATCCCCCCTCCCCCTACACCCGCCGCCGCGCGTGCCCGGTCATCACCCCCATGCTGGCCGCCCCCGGCCGGGGATTGGCCATTTCTCGGGAAGCCTTCCCCCCTCCCCCTACACCCCCCCCGCGCGTGGCCGGTCATCACCCCCATGCTGGCCGCCCCCGACCGTGGCTTGGCCATGGCTCGGACGCCAATTCCCCGTGCATTTTGCGATCTCGCGCGTTCGTTTCTCAGCAGATGAATCAAAATGCTCCTCGATGGTCCCGCCGAGAAGACTAGGGAGGCCACAAAAGACATCCGCGCACACCCACGTCCACGAACACGGCCACCTAATCCGCGAGACCGGCCGCGTGATTCGCACGAATCTGTACTCTCGAAACCAGCGTGGATTCATGCACGCGTACATCCATGCACGTGGATTCGCGGGGGCTCCCCGGCCACCACCGTGTCAATGTAGACCTACACTGTCAATGCCTCGCTCTGCTGGAGCTTTGCTGCGTTCCTGCTCGTTAACATTTGTCACGTGTGCGGAGCTGCACTGTCAATGCCGCGCTTTCATCTGGCTTTGCTGCGTTCCTGCTCGCAACGCACACCGCCAGAGGCGGCGGAGAGCTTGACAGGTCCACCTACCAAAAGCTCGCTCCTGACTTGTTGAAGGGGCCCTGGGACACACAAACACATAGACACAACCGACAGGACCCCCCATATGTTCCTGCCTTTCCTGGGCTTGGGTCTTCCCCCCCACCTCCCACAGTTGCCCACATGTTCTGGGGAGTCGACGATTCACTGTGTCTGTGTGTGTGCTTTGTCTCCCCCTCCTGACCTGGGGGGCCCTTCGCCCTCCTCAGCCGGCCCGCCCGGAGAAGGAGGAGGAGGAGGCGGAGGAGGAGGAGAAAGAAGAGGAGGCGGGGGAGGAGAAGGAGGAGGAGGAGGAGGAGGAGGAGGAGAAGGAGGAGGAGGAGGAGGAGGAGGAGGAGGAGGAGGAGGAGGACGAGCGCGCCCGGAGCCGGCCGCGGGCCCGCCTCGGGAGGCCGAGCAGCGGAGGGGGGGCCGGCCGCGCGAGAGGGGCGGCAAAGAGGGAGCCGGAGGGCGGCCGGGGAGGAGCCAGCGCGGAGGCGTGCACGCCGGGTGCGGGCAGTACTTCTCTGTCCATTCGGGTCGGGCGAAAGGATGCTCCTCGATGGTCCTCGCCGAAGGAAAAATGCACACGTCCGAGCGATGCCGAGCCATGGTCACGAGCGTATGCTTGTGACCCTCCCCGTCCCACGCACCCCCTGCTCCCCTTGCAGGCACGCGCCGGCACGGACCACGCACATCTCGGGTCGGGCGAAAGGGGGGGATAGCAAAGGGGGGGTTCGAGAATCAGCTCGCGTGGCTGATTTTCCCGGCGCCTCCCGGCGCCAGATGGAGCTGTGTATCGAGGAGTGGGCCCCTCGGCGAGGCCGAAACCAGGTGCATGCAGCAAATTTCGGAACCCCCCCTTTCCCAATCCCCCCCTTTCGCCCGACCCGATCCATGTCCACTGCGGCACGGAGTTTCGGGTTCCCTTCCCCAGGAGCCAGAGGCGCGCTGGATGTGGATAGATTTGCCCCCCAGAGGCTCGATATGTTTATCCACATCCAGTGCGCCTCGGCCTTGTGATGCTCCTTCCAAAACAATCCAAAGACGCACTGGATATCGGTACGAACCTTGCCCGCACTGGGCGCTCGTTCTTTGGAAGAAGCAGGACGCACATGAGCATACAGTCGGCCTTGATTGGGCAGGGCACGCGAGGGGACACAAGAGCCTGCCGGGGGCCACATCGCCACAGGAGCGTGAGAGGGCGCGCGTTGCGAGGCCCAGGGTCCAAGGGTACCCTTGAGCTGGCAGGGTCGACCTACTAATCTGGGCCGACTGTAAACTTTTGGCGCTCCGAGCGGAATTCTTGAATCCTCGCTGGACCCCCCTCCCTGGCGCGCGGAGCGCAGGGGCGGCGCGGGAGGCGCCGCCAGGGGGGGGGGGCAGCCCGGATCCAAGAACTCCGCTCGGAGCGCCAAAAGTTTCTGTTGACGTGTTTTTGTTCTTCTTCGACTCTGAGGACCTTCCTGGAGACATTCGCTCCATTCGTGTGTCGAAGCTGCGTCGAACGTCCGTCGATTTGACTGGACCCTGAGCCGAACCCGAACCGAACCTGAATCGAACTTGAATCGAACTTGAACCGAACTCGAATCGAACTGGGGTCGAACTAGAGTCGAACAGATCCGTGAGGTGGGCCCCCGGAAGGTCCCCGAAACGAGCATGTAATTTACGTGCACGATCTTCTTTCGCTCCTGAAGAAAAATCGTGGATCTTCTTTCACTCCTGAAGAACAATTCTGGAGTCAAACGGTGCGGTGGCAGACCGTGCGGTGACCTCGAAATCCCAAGACCTCACCGCACGGTCTGTTGACGCACGGTTCTGGGAACTCGGATGCCCGAGTCGCCCGAGCCGTCCTCGGAGAACGACCCGAGTCCCAGGACCGTGCGGGGACCCCCAACCTCCCCCCCCAGACTCACAGCACGGTGTGGCCACCAGCCCGTCTGGGGGCCCCCGAGAACTGCCCACGTCCGCGCAATGCCGACCGGGGTGGGAGGGCGCCCCCCCCCCGCGCCGGGCATGCGGGGTCGCTCAGCTCAGCTCGAGGCCGCAGGCTCTCGAGGCTCCTTGTGGGGGCCCCCTGGAGGGGCCTCCAGGAGACCCCCCCTGCCCCAGAAGCCCTCGTCGTCGTCCTCCTCCTCGTCCACCTCGTCCTCCTCCTCCTCCTCCTCCTCGTGCTCCTCTTCCTTTTTGACGTTGCGCGGGCTTGATGCAACATGCTCCTCCTCCTCCTCCTCCTTCTTCCGTCCTCTCCCTCCTCCTCCTCCTCTCCTCCTCCACCCCTCCTCGTCCTCCTCCTCCTCCGCGTCCCCCTCGTCCTCCTCCTCCTCCTCCTCCTCCTCCTCCCGCTCCCGCTGCTCGGCCGCCTCTCTCCTCCTCCTGCGCAACTGCTGCACCCGCGCTCGCTCCCTCTCTCACACACACACAGAGCACACAACACACAGAGCGCACAACACAACACACAGCACACACGCAACACACAATACTCTCAACACAACACAACACACGCCCACACAACACGCATCACGCAACACACACGAACACACGCACACACGCACAACGCACACATAACACACACAACACAAAACACAAAAACGCATGCACAACACAAACACACACATACACGCACGCACGCACGCACTCACGCACCCCCCCCTCCCCCCCCCCCACACCACACACACACACACACGCACACACACACACACACACACACACACACACACACACACACACACACACACACACACACACACACACACACACACACACACGCACGCACACACGCGCACGCGCACACGCACACGCCCACGCACACGCCCACGCCCACGCCCACGCCCACGCCCACGCCCACGCCCACGCCCACGCACACGCACACGCACACAGACACGCACACAGACACAGGCACAGGCACAGACACAGACACAGACACAGACAACACACACAACACACAACACACCACAACACACATAAACACATAAACACATAAACATACACACACGCGCACACACGCACACACACACACGCACACACGCACACACACAAACACACACACAAACACACACACAAACACAAACACAACCAACAACACAAACACACACACACATACGCACGCGTACACACACCCACACGCACACGAACATGCACACGCACACAACACACACGCACACAACACACACAAAACACAACACACACAACACACACGCACACAACACACACAAAAAACACAACACACACACATCACACATAAAAAACGCAACACACACAGCCACAACAGGAGCCCGAGCTCGAAACTAGCCGACGTTCTCGAGCGTCTACAAGGATCGGGAGAGTCCCACGCGATCAAGGATCCAGAAGTGTTCCGCTTGACGGCTGGGGGGCCCTCTTGTGAAGGCGGCTGGGGGGCCTCTTGTGAAACTCCCTCGCCGCCCAAAACATCCTTGCGTCCAGATTGTTTCCAGACGCGGGCCCACGACCTCTCGACCACTCTCCCGAGACCGGTTTCTCGTCCCGAGTTATTAGTTGACGGTCCCGAAGCCTGGTAAGGATCCCCAAGAGGCCGACAAACTAATCATGAAAGCCTCAGCCTCGACGTCTGTCGAGACGCCAGGGTGCCTGGGGCCTGGGGGCGCAGGAAGGGGAGGAGGGGAAAGACCATGGGCTGCTCCTGCTCCTGCGGTTCCGCCTCCAGGAGTGGGCGGACGGTGGAGGGCGAGGATGGAGGCCTCCTGGATGGGGTCCGAGTGGATGGGATCGGAGGATCGCGCCGCATTGCAGATTCATCGGCGACGCATCGACGATTGATCGGCGATGCATCGGCGACGTCGGCGGCACATCGGCGACGCCAGCATGGAGAAAATCGGGCCCCGCATCGAGCCGCATCGCCGATGCGGTGCGGTGCTCCGACCCCATCTACACCCTGCGAAATGCTCTAGAAATCATGGGTTAAGAAATTCATAGTCTCAGAACTTGAATAAAAACCCAGAATTCCTATCGAAATCTTAGGATTCACACTGAAACATTAAGAATAATCGAGACACTGGCCGAAGACTGAAGTTTTCTTAAGCATCGCCTGGGGTGTACTCCGACCCCATCTGGGAGGCCTGGAGGAGAGCGGGGGGGGGGTCCGAGCTCGGAGCGCGGCGAGTCCCTCACGCGGCGCGCTGGCCCCAACGAGGAGGAGAGGGCACAGCACCATCGAGAAGCTGAGTACGCTTCTCGACGGGTGCGTGTCATCCTTTGCGCAGGGGCCATGCCAATCCTCTCTGTGCTTATCGATCCAAGTTTCACGGATGATCCCCAGAGGAAATCCCCCCCACAAGGAGGAGGAGGAGGAGGATACTGGATGAGGAGAGAGAGAGAGAGAGAAAGAGAGAACGAGGGTATGGAGTTGTTTCACAATTTCCTCCCACCGTCCTCGCCGTCCTCGCATTCAACCGGCGTCGTAAGCGCTGTCGTCGGCCCTTCACCGAGAAATAACGGACAAGGAAAAGAGAGACAACCATGAGGAAGAAGGGGAACTACAAAAAGGATGAGGAGGAGGAGGTAGAGAAGGCGGATTAACCACTCACGGCGCTTAGCTGGAACCCTAGGGCGCCGTACGCAGTATATACACATACATACCTGTACGACCACACTTCAGGTGATAAGGAGGTTCGAAGGGGACGAACGTTTCACCCAATCGACCTTATTATCGATCTCACTATCGATCCCCTGGATGGGGTCCAGAGCATCCCCAAAGCAAACACAATAGTCAGCGAAGACCATACAGCCCTGATTGGACCGTTCGAGACATCACCGCAATATGGGCGCGAACAGGCCCGTGAAACACCCTTGGTCGGCAGAGCACGGGCCCATATCACGAGGCACAATCGTGCCGCCTCCAGTCCTGGCGACGAGGAGTATCCCGAAAACATCGACCACACAAATACTTGTCTGACGGTAATGCGAGCCTCCTCCTGGTCTTCCTCCTCCTCGACTTTCTCCTCCTGGTTCTCCTACGGTGCTCCTCTATATATATATATATACGTATATAGATGTAAACACACGTATATATACATGCACGGAGATATGGATACGTTTAGAACGATAGGTCGGTAGGTCGATCTATATATATTTATACATATATGTATGGATATGTATATATATACATATGGCATATGCATGCCGAGATTTCGAAGTATAGATAAACACATCGATCGATGTGTCCATGTCTGGCGTTGTGTCTCAAACTCGCGCTCTCTCTCTCTCTCTCGCTCTTTCTCTCATTTGCGCTGTGTCCCCCCCCTCCTCCTCGAGAATCGACGGCCCGCCGCCCTCCCTCACACTCTCCCTCCCGACAGGATGGAGCCTTCTGTGCCCCTGCTCATGCGGCGTTGAGGATCACCCAGCATCTCCCCTCTTGCGTAGCAGCACCCTCTCCTGCCGTCCTCCCGCCCCCCCACCCACACCCCTTCCGTTTCCCCGTCTCCTGCCTCCCCCCTCCCCCCTTCCTTCCCCCCTCCCCTTCCTGACTGCACCCCCCCCGCCCCACCCACCCACCCATCCCACCCCACCCCACCCCATTGAACCCTCCCCCATTCTCCCGTCTCCCTTCCCCCGCCCCTCGTCCTTCCAATCATCCCTCCCCCCAATCTGTCCTTGCGGGAGAGAGCGTCCCCAAACATGAGGGCACGCACGACCGACAATGCCGCCGTCTTCCTTTTCTCCTGCTCCTCCTTCTCCCGAGGTCCTTATCCCCTCTCCACTCCTCACCCTCCTGCTACTTCTCTTCCGCCTCCTCGCAATTCACTTCTCGCCTCCTCCGACTCCTCTCCTCCTCCTTCTCCTCCTCATCCTCCCCATCCTCCACCAACTTCCCTCTTCCTCCTCCTCCTCCTCCTGCTCCTCGTCATCCCTCCCTTCTCTGTTCTTCACAAATACACCATTGAATAAGATTCTCTCTTTCTCTCTCTCTCTCTCTCATTTGTTTCCCTTTCCCTCTCGCTCTCTCTCTCTCTCTCTCTTTCTCTCTCTCTCTCTCTCACCTAGGACTGCATTGTTCGAGGGCGCGCCCCTCCCATATATTGCTTGTCGCGCGCACCGAACATCAACACGTTGATTGGTCCTGCGCGTGTGTTACAGACCGCGTCAAGTCCTGAAGAAGTGTTTCCGCTGCAGCGGTGGCCGCACTTCAGGGCTGGCGCTTTCCTCCAGTCATCCAGGGTTGCGTCTTCGCTCTGGCGCGGGTCACATTTGTGAATCCGATTCGCCCCTCCGTGCAAATCCTTGTCCTACCCCCGCATTCCCCTGGTCGTCCTGCTCCTCCTATAGTCCATTTCAGGGCAAAAGTCATCTAGGATACCCTAACAGGCGGGCAGAAGCGAACTCAGCGCCCGAGGAGAAGATTGATGAGAGGTGTAGGATGTCAGAAATGGCGCGAAGGCTCCTAATGCATGGATTGAGGGCACATGTCTGGGCGGAAAAATGAGACATGCGTGGGCAGACCGAGATCGCCAGACGCACATGCGTTGACATCCCGCATAGGATACGTTGGCGGGCAACCGAACTGAAACACGCCGCAGCCACCGCATCCGACGCGGCCGCCACAGCCGCCGCAGCCAACGCCGCAGCCGCAGCAACCGCCGCCGCAGCTCCCCGATCCTCCCCTCATTTACGTCGGCTTAGGCCAGGCATGTCCTCCTACATGCGGACTTTGGCGGACAGATGGAAAATAACCAAACCACATGCGAAAGCGATGGAACAATAATTCTAAAACGTCGTCCACGGACTGTTCGTTGACTGTTGTTGAACATTCCTCCTGTAGAGGGACAGGCCCGAGTTAAATCTAGGCTCCAAGAGCGAGCGCTTCCCCCATCAGCGGGCCTCCTCGAGGCACCACGGGCGCGGGCGCGTGTGGTCTGGAGGCCTGGGGGGGGGGGCGGCGGCAATGGCGGCGGCGCCTCGTCCTCGTCTGCCAAGACATGATCATTCCTTCGATCCGTCATTCTCATCGACCTGCTGCTCATCCCCACCCGTCCTCCTCGACCTCCTCCACATCCTCCTCCTGACTGTCCTCCTCGGCTTTCTCGTTCCCTTGCTCCGTCACGCATTACTCCTTCTCCTCCTCCTCCTCCGTGTCGTCCTCGTCCTCATCCTCCAGTGCCTCCTCATCGACCTCTTCCCGACTGTTACTCGCATTATCCGCCCGTCCTCCCTCGCCCCATCCAAGTCCTGATCCTCATCGTCCGTCTCCTTCTCCCTCTCCTCATCACCATCATCCTAACGCTTACCCTTCTCCATCGCCCCCTCATCTTCGTCCTCTTAGCCTTCATTCCCATTCCTTCTCGCCCAAATCCTGCCCCTGAACCTGCACATGCTCCTCCTCGTTCTGCCCCACCTCCTGCAACTGATGCTTCTACTGTTCGTTCCTCCCCCTCCTTTCCGACAAGTCCACATCGCGCTCTTCCATCACTGCCTGATCCTCCCCACTCTCCTTCTCCTCTCTGCTACTGATTATCCTGCGCCCGAGGCAAGGCGCATGCCCGAGAAGGACCGGACGCAAGAGCCTGGAAACAGTCATCCTCCCCCTCCTCCCCTCCATCCTTCTCTCCCCTCGTCCTCTTCCACCTCACCCCGCCCTCCCACTCTTCTTCCTCCTCCTCCTCCTCCTCCTCCTCCTCCTCCTGTTCTTCTTATTATTGGTTTTCTTCTTATTATTCGGAGCTTCTTCTCATGAGTATTCGGAGTATGAATCTTACTCTTCGTCTTACCTTATCATTATTCTTAGTAGTATTATTCGTTGTATGCGTATTATTATTCACTTTCTTCCTCCTCCTGCTCCTCTTCGTCCTCCTCCTCCTGCTCCTCCTCCTCCTCCTCTTCCTCCTCCTCCTCCTCCTCCTCTTCGCTTCGCTTTGCTTCGCTTCGCTGGAGCGGACCGTGCGTCGATGCCGCACGGGCCTAGAAACAAACAATATCGAAAAAGAACAGGGGAGCCTACAGCTCCAGCAAGTCCGAAGCCGATCCTTCCGCCGCTTCGCTCTCCTGGCGACGCGACGCTGCGAGGCGCTCCACCGGGAGCGCCCATTCTTCTAGCGTCTCTTGGGTCAGCCCAAATCTGGCCAGAAGCTCCGCGCGGCCCCACCCGCCAACCAACCCACCCCAAGCACGGAGGTCGCCTTCTTGGGCCTCCCGAGAGACGAGAGCCGGCGCCTTGTGAGCCGCTAAGCAAGCCAGGTCAGGCCCCGTAGCGTCAACAAGGCTGCCGATTCTCCACCTTGCGTACTGCGGGGCCCAGCCGGGGAACTGCCCTTTGGCAGCGCGATTCCGTTGCCTCTTCAAGGCATCGGTCGGCTCCGGGCAGGGCTCAAACAGACTCTGAACACCACCCGAGGCGTAGCCGCCACAAGAGGTTCAAATGGCCACGCGGCTCCCTGACAACACGGGTTGCCCGTCTGCCTGAAAAACCGGAGCCATCTTGATCCTATGCCCCTGGAGTTGCACAAGCAGCTCAAGCTCGGGAGCCGCTGGCGGGGACTCCGATGAAAACAAATAGCGGTCCTTCCCGACCAACGCGGCCGAGCGATCAAGAGGACCGTTAGGGGCGGGAGGCTCAGGAGGAGAGTATGGAAGAATCTGATCGGCGTCCAGCCAAACACGATCCACCTTCAGAATTTCTTGCTGCGCCGCCCACCTGCCAGCCTCGACCGCAAGCAAATTAAGCCCAGCAAGCTCCCTGGCAGCGGCCGCCGCGCAAGGGTGACATCCCGCCCCCTGCTTGGCGAACGAATCGGCCGACTCATTCGCCAGACGTTCCCAAGCCGTCGTGCGGCAGGCCTCCACATCAGTTTGCGTGCAGTGCGCCTTCGTCTTGAAGGCGCTCAGCATGCCAGGGTCATGAAAAATATGCCACATTCGCTGCCACAAATGCGCATTCGAACACTGCGCTGAAACTGAGAACACGGGGTCGTGAAGGCACTGGAGCGTGGAAGCGCAATCGGCGTAGACCTCCACAGGCCCAAATGCGCAGGACGTCAACATGAAGATTGCGTAATCTTCCGCATCGTGTGAAGCCTGCTGGGGGCATATATCGACAGGCCCCGCACCATACGCTGCAGCGATAAGGCGCCCACTGGGGTCAACCATCACAAAAGCCCAGCCGGCCCGCCGAAGAAACGGAAAATCAGGGTCCTCCTCCTCCTCCTCCTCCACTTCCTCATCCCCCGTCGTCCTTACCCCCCCCCCCTCGTCCTCCTCCCCATTCCCCCTCTCCACCTCTCCCCCGTGCCCATCATCGCCCCCGCCACGCATCAGGCAGCATGCCCAGGAGCAGCTGCCCGACAAACGCAACGCTATGCTGGTCGACGTCGTGGTGGTGGTGGTGGTGGTGATCGTCGTCATGAGTTAGTCGAAGGGCTCCGAGAAGTCATGCTCCAGATCGCACAGAAGTTGGCAGTCATCAGTTTCTCCTGGGCTGTTGCGGACATGCCCAGGAACTTTGTCAGGGATCGCGGCATTGTCGTCCAGGCTAGGCGGGTGGCTGCTGACCTGGAAATTAGCAGCGGGCAAGTCAGGTCGAGGAGACCCAAGCAAGCCAGGAGGAGGGCAAGAACTGACAGGCGCCTCGTCAGACTCCGTAATCTTGTTCGTACCTGTTGGTGTTGTAAACAGTGAGCCAGCAGGATGGCCCTGACCTCGGCTTCTTCAGAAGCTAGGTATCATGATACTTCTGATAAGGTATGTGGCATCCCTCCTAATGTTGTCCTTGGATGGCGCCGTGCGCTGGGTAGCTCTGCCCAGGGTTGTTTCGAAAAGCGGGCGGGGGGGGGGGGTGCATGACCACATCGCTTGCTCTAGAATAGAATAGGGTAGCAGAGACCCAGGCTTCTTTGCCATGTTCGACACGGTCCATGATTAGCTTCAGCTTACAACTCGTGCCAACCTCGATGCTGAAAAGACCAGGAGGGTTTGGAGAGAGGCCGTGGCGGAGATCGAAGTCAAGCCTGCTAGCAAGCGCCGGCGAGGGGCGGGCACCCCTGAAGCCGACACCATCGCCACCCTGCTAGATGCTGGTTGGAAGCCCTTGGAACCGAGGGCCCTGGTCACTGCACCGGCCTTGCAGACGTGCTGCAGCGGAATTCTGCGCGGATTTCTGCCTGGATGTTTGCCCGAAGCGGCAAGCGAAAAACGAAGTGAATTTCCCTTGGGTTCGATTTGGTCTTCATTCCGGGCCAAAACAAAATGCGCACGAAATTCACCTCGAAATGCGGAACGAACTTATCCAGGACACCCCGGGCGCCCCCTATCGTTTTCCGAGCGACATCCGCTCTGCGATGTTGGTGCCATGACCCTGGGAAAAGGACCTCGGCGAAATATTTGCGACTTCAGGAACCAAACTGGGGCGAGGAAGGGATGATCTAGTCGGTATGTTCGAGGCCCTGGCACAAAGCAGGAAGCGCCAACTCCAAAATCAAAGTGCGCAACAAACAACTATGCCAAATTGTGCGTATCAAATCACACTTTGTGTTGCAAGACTCCGCTGCATTTGAACCAACATGGTTGTTCCGCTTTTCTGTTGCGCTTTCGTTTGCGCGTGATATTGCTGGTTTGTTGTGTTTTGATGTGCCGCTTTTTGCATTATTCAAAAATTGGTGAACGAGCTCTTCTCGTGTCAGGAGACCACAGCTACGAAATGAGCTGACTCAGGACAATACCTGTAACCGTTGTGAGGAACCGAATGGTTGTGACGCTCATTGACCTTGGGGCCGTCCTGGGAACAGCAAGGGCTCTGAGCCAATCAAGAGCGGGCCGTCGGCTGCCTGGGAGGGCCACCCGAGACTCTGGCTGCGAGGGCTGACGCGAACCAGCTGGACCGCCGCCCATCGGGTCGGGCGAAAGGGGGGGATAGCAAAGCGGGGGTTTGAGAATCAACTCGCGTAGCTGATTTTCCCGGCGCCTCCCGGCGCCGGAGGCGCCTGTGTATCGAGGAATGGGCCCCTCGGTGGGGCCGAAACCAGCTGCATGCAGCAAATTTCGTACCCCCCCCTTTCCCACCCACCCCCTTTCGCCCGGCCCGAGCCCAGTCCTCCAGCTGACGGGGGGGGTTTTGAGACCTCTGGGGAGGAGCTGCAAGGGGGCGGTGGTTGACGGGCTTGCTTGCGGACGAGCGGACGCGAGCGGGCGCCCGGGCTCGGACGGCCCGGCCCTGCGCCGTGCCTCTCTGTCCTAGGCTGTTGGTTCTAGAAGTCTGCGCTCGGAAGAAGCGCGTGGCGCCCAGGAGCTCAAGGCACGTGCTTGCAGTTTCGGCAACGTGCCCGCATGGCACAAAAATCCGTCAACATTGGAGGGGGCACGAATGTCCTGCAATGCTTGACCAAACGACTGCGCCTGATAGTAATCCCCGGGGGATAATACAGCTCGGGGTCTGGCGGGGGTAATCAATGATTTCCCCGGCGGAGGATGATGAAGATGATGCTGATGATGCTGATGATTCTGGGAGCTCGTGTAGATTAACCTTGTAGATCGTGGCAACAAACTGACTCGACAGATCTCGAGTCTGGGCGTTCGTGTACTCTGACCTTGTGAACCTTGGCACATCACTGACTCGACAAATTTCGAGTCTGGGCGCTCGTGCACACTGACCTTGTAAATCTTGGCACAAACGTGACTCGACTGATCTCGAGTCTGGGCGTTCGTGTAGACTGACCGTGTCGACCTTGGCACAAAACTGACTCGACAGATCTCGAGTTTGGGCGCTCGTGTAGATTGACCTTGTAGACCTTGGCACAAAACTGACTCGACAGATCACGAGTCTCGTGGCTACAAATGACCTGTGCAAGAGAGGTCCGTGCCTACAGCATCCCATAGCTCTGCCACACGCTCGTGATTGCGAAAGCTGAAATGGTGAGACCACCATTGCCATGCTTAGCGTTTTTGATACTGTTGCTAGTCAACACTAGATGATAGCAACTTCGATTCGCAACTTCTCCTGGGGATTATCAAGTTCGGCCTCGCCGCCCCTCTCCACACTTAAATCCGATTGACACGGGATAATAAATACTCAGGGGGGTAAGGGGCGGGTGCATGTTTATCTGGGGCATGCGGCTACCGCCCTCTGGCGAATGGATGTGCTGTCGCCGATCCCTCAAACATTGTGGACGATTGGAATAAGATCCAGAGGAACATCCATCCCGAGTCACACCTTGGCACAGCGGTGGTCTTGGCCAAGATGGAGGTCACAACTTTGCGGAGGAGATCAAGGCCAGCGGCACCGACCATCTCCATTGCGGACAACATTGCGAACCAGCGGGCTGAGAATATACGCACCCGTACCAAGGATCTTGACTCTAGGTCCTACGCGCAGGCCATTGCGTTTCAAGTTCGCTAGCACCTAAGTCACAGTTTTGCTAGCCTTGCTGGAGGTAGACGAGAACAGATCGCCCAAGGAGTCAGCTCTGGATATGAAGCGACGCGGAATCAAAATTCAGCTGCTGCCCACTTCGCACGAACACGTGCGCGGCATCGGCTCCCATATCCGCTGCCATAAGTGTGGTGGCTGCGCTCCGTACTCAATGCTGGAGGAGTTGATTCAGGTGCACACTCAGAGTCAAATAAATGGCATTCATTTGCACCGCTCCCAAACCTTGGCGTTTCAAAAAGAGTTCGGGAGCATTGCTTGCCTGTGTATGCGTTGCGACGCAGGCGGTCAGGCAGTTGGCAGAAGATTGCACGCACCAGCTCAACAACTAACCGATACAGGGCGATCATCATCCCCCGGAGATAATTTTCCCAGGGATGAGGATAATGCTGATGATGATGACGGTGATGACGATGATCATGACGGCGATCCTGGGCGCTCCGCACAAGGCTGACTCGAGAGATCTCGAGGCTCGTGGCAATGCAACTTGTCAGCAGGCGCTCGGCACAAGGCTGACTCGAGAGATCCCGAGGCTCGTGGCTATACAACTTGCCAGCAGGCGCTCGTTGTCAACATGATATGATAGCAACTTCGATTCGCAACTTTCCCGTGGACTCTAAAGTTTGGCCTCCGTACCCCCCTCCACAATTAAATCCTGTTGGACGGGTTAAAAAAACAGGAGGGGGAAAGGGGGGGGTACTATATTATCGTCCGTCGTCGGTTATGGCAAGCAGCACCTGGCAATGGTGCATCAAGGGCTGCCAACAGGATCGTCAAAGCTTGCCAAGCCACAATTGACCCAGAAGAGGATATGGACATAACCTGCTCGACGTTGCTGAGGCTGGAGACAAGTAACCCTGGCAAGCAAACAGTAAACCCCCCGGCGATATCGCTAGCACAGAAAATAAAATAAATAATTATTTTGGGCGGCGCCCTCCGGCGATATCGTTAGCACATAAAAAATAAATAAAATAATTAATTAATTAATTTCCCCCCCCGGGCCCGAAGCTGGCGGCAACGCGAGGCGACAGCCTGAAGAACCAACGCGCACGAACGCTTGCCAATGCATTCCCGCCTTGCTAGAACACTGGGAAACTGACGCGCATCGGAAATCAAAGGTAAATCAAACATCACAAACAATGAAATCACCGCAAGCAACTATACTTGAAAGGACCCCCCAAAGGAATCCCAGAGGAATCTCAGAAGGAAGCCCACGCAGAATCTCAAAGGATCCCTATTGGAAATTCAAAGTAATCTCAAAGGAACCCCACAGAAATCGCAAAGGGATCTCAGCGGCAGCTCAAACGAACCACAAAGGAATCTAAGGAATCTGGAAAACGCGGGCTCGCGTGGACATAAGCAAACCCTATTGCGGCCGCAATAAGGAAATTGTTTTTTCCACGGGGTCCTATGGGAGAGTCCACGGAAGGATATCGCAGACGGATTCCGCGAACCCCCCCCGCGATATGTTAGCACATTTATTGAAAAATACAATAATCTTCAGGCACCGGAGGTCGATGTGATGCTCCCTTCAGGGATTGTCGAAGGAATATCAGAGGAACTTGAAAGAACCCCCAAAGGAATCCCATAAGAATATCACAAGGAATCGCACGCATGATATCGAAGGAACCAATGGAAGTTCAAAGCAATCTCAAAGGAGCCCAACAGAAATGCCAAAGGCATCAGCGGCAGCTCAAACGAACCACAAAGGAATCTAAGGAATTTGGAAAACGCGGGCTTGCGTGGACATAAGCAATCCCTATTGCGACCGCACTAGGGAAATTGATTCTTTCAAGGGATCCTATGGGAGAGTCCACGGAGAGATTTCGCAGACGCATTCCGCGAACCCCCCCGCGATATGTTAGCACATTTATTACAGATAAAATAATCCACCGGCCCCGGATGTCGATGTGATGCTCTCTTGAGCAATGGGGCATCAAAGGGATATGGCTGGAGCCTCAAGGGACCCCCAGAATAGCATCAAAGGAACACCAGAGGAGTCTCAAAGGAGTCCCAAAATAATCACATATTGATTCTTTCAGGGGATCCTATGGGAGAGTCCACGGAGAGATTTCGCAGACGCATTCCGCGAACCCCCCCGCGATATGTTAGCACATTGATTAAAGATAAAATAATCCACCGGCCCCGGATGGGGCATCAAAGGGATATGGCCGGAACCTCAAGGGACCCTCAGAATAACATCAAAGGAACACCAGAGGAGTCTCAAAGGAGCCCCAAAATAATCACAATGGAAACGGCAAGGAATCTCAAAAGAAGCCAATCGGAGTATCAGAGGAATCTCTGAGGAATCTCACAGAAACGCACAGAATCACAGTGTGCCTTGTCGCTGGGCTCTGGACTACAAGGGGACCGGGCATTCAGAGGCTTGTGGAGGCCTTTCTGGATGCCTCCTGGGAACCTCCGGGGACCTCCCCTCCGCGGACCTCTGGTGACCTGCGGGGGATAATTATCGCTTCCGCCCCGGCCCCGGTGCCGGAAGCGTTATAATTTCCTCTGATGAAGGGGGGGGGGGGGGGGAGGGGGGTTTACTGATTGCTTCCCAGGGTTACACTTGCGCTAACCCGTTCCTCCTCCTCCTCCGCCTGTTCCCCCTCCTTCCTCTATTTCTCATAGCCCCTCCTCGTGTTCCTCCTCTGAGCATGCCTGCACGTGTACGCCCAACCGATACCAATCGTCATGGAGCTCAGCAGCCGCGTCCAAGCCCGATTTAACAGGCCTCATCCTCTCCTCCCCCTCCGCTGTCTCACCTTCCATCCCCCTCTCCTCCTCCTCCTCCTCCTCCTCCTCCTCCTCCTCCTCCTCCTCCTCCTCCGCCCTGGTCGACGTCGTCATCGTTCCCCTTTCCCCTCCGCCATGTACCAACTTACTGAGTTACTGTTACGATAATTCCCACCACCGGGATAAAACCTGAGGGGACTTCGCTCACGGCTCACGCGGCTCCATTTCAAGCCGTTGCGCGTGTTGGCAGATTGCAGCATCGCACTTCGCGGGCCCCGAACGTGTGTGGCAAGGACGTGGTGACGTCGGAATCCCAAAAAAGCTCACCGCACGGCCAGCCTGTCACACCGCACAGTTTTGGGACCCTAGAGGTCCCAATCGTCATAAGATTCCTCGGAGAACGACCCGAATGCCCAAACCGTGCGGTGACCCCGGATCCCCACTGGCTCACCACGCGATGTGGGGGCGCGTAAGCATGGATTAGCGATCCATGGATTTGGCGCGCGGTCGCCAAATGCGCGGTCGCCAAGTCCAGGGATAGACGGGAGGGGCCATCCCCCAAAATGCGGCCCTTGCCGCCTCGTCCGGCGGAGGAAATCCGCCACTTCCATTGGAAATGGGACCCGTCGCTGATACACGCCCCCTTAATCCATGTTTGCGATCGCCTGACCTGACCTCCTCCTCCTCCTCCTCCTCCTCCTCCTCCTCCTCTGCTGCCCGTGGGGCGGGGGCGCCCGCCCCGAGATCCGACGCAGCCCGCACAAATCTGCAACGCCGTGCAAAGTGGCGCGCCCGGGAGCCCTGGACCCCGTCTTTCTGCGTCGCTGCCCGAGCTGGATCGCTCCCGGATAGGGGGCCTCCTGCGAGCCATACCCCCCACGATGTCTGCAGGGGAGGGCGGGGTTCACTTCGTTCGGGAGCTCCCGCGCGCAGTGAACCCCCTCCTCCTCCTCCTCCTCCTCCTCCTCCTCCTCCGCCTCCTCCTCCTCCTCCTCCTCCTCCTCCTCCTCCTCCTCCTCCTCCTCCTCCTCCTCCTCCTCCTCCTCCTCCTCCCCCTCAGAAATCGTGGGGGGGTAGGGGCGGGGTTCGCCTGTGGCCCCCCATCCGTGGGAGCCCCGGGGCCGAGCTGAGGCGAGCCCGCCCGGCTCGGAAGCGTGGTGGCGCCAGGATCTCCGGGTGGGCCGCCCGGAGAAGTAGGAGGAGGAGGAGTAGGAGAAGGAGGAGGAGGAGAGGAGGAAGAGGAGGAGCAGGAGGAAGAGGAGGAGGAGCAGGAGGAGGAGGAGGAGCTTGAGGAGGAGGAGGATCTTGAGGAGGAGGAGGAGGAGGAGGAGGAGGAGGAGGAGCCCGCCCGGATCTCCGGGTGGGCCCAGCCCGTGGTGTCCGCTCGGCCTCGGGGGGGCCCCCGGGGGGGGGGCCCTGACCTGACGCCGTGCGCCAGCGGCGGGGCGCCTGCCGGGGTTGCGAGCAGAGGGTTTCGGGCAGGGGCGACAGCTGCGGTGACAGCGCATCCTCGTCCTCCTCCACTCGGGAGCGGCCAAAAGGGGGGTGTCCGAGAGGGGGGGGTGCAAATCATGACCGGCGGCATGTGCGCGGCCCAGCGGGGGGGCCAGGGACGTAATGAAATAAGAAGAGGCGCCATGAAATCTGGGAAAATATCATGGCCCACGCCATGATATCCACCCCCCCCCTAGTCATCACCCCCCTCTTTTCCGCCCCCGATCCACGGCGGCTGCCTGCCAAGACCGGTGTGCCCGGGACGGCGGCACGGAGCCCTACCTGGATCACAGCAGCCGCGTTGCCGTCCGACGCCTCCTATCGCAACCCGCCTCCTCCCTCTCACCCGCTGCGGTCCCTCCCTCGTCATGCGCGCCCTCCTCCGCCTCACACTCGTCTTCGCCATGCTCCTCCTCCCTGTCCCCGTCGTCTTGCGCCTCCTCCTCCTCCTCCTCCGCCTCCTCCTCCTCCTCCTCCTCCTCCTCCTCCCCATTGTCGTCGCCGTCCTCCTCCCCCCCACGCCGTCCGAAGGGGCAGGGACACCGAGGAACCAAACCCCTGCAGAGGGCTGAGCGGACAGTCAGAGAAGAAGAATGATGTCTCTGTTTTGGGTGCATTGCTGAACAGATACGCATCTCGTCCCCGCAACTTGAACAGCAACTTCACTGCGAGGCGTTCCGACACCCGGTCTCTGATGCTCGCTAGCTCCTTCCGAAGCTGGTCGGCATAAGACTGAGTCGCGGGGAATGCGTCGATGCACTCCGTCATGAACACAAGCGCATTGCGCCTGCGCGGCGGCGACATCCGAACACACTCGATGATTCCAGCTGCGAGGCGGCATTCCCACTTACCGTGCGCCCTTCTTAAGTCCTCAGCGGTCACGTACCGTCGCGGCTCTTCTAGTTCCGGTAGGTGATAGTGCCTCTCGAAACATGGGTTCTCCTCCCATAACCACGCGTCGCTGTTCTCTCGCAACTTAACCACGTATTTCATCATTTCTCGAGTGTACACCCCAACTGCGACCGCCTCGGAGCTACTGAACTTCTTCAGGCGGTCCTTCACGTACTGAGTCCAGCAGTTCTGGAAGTCCAAGAAGTGGAGCCCGATGCTTCGCGTCTCGATCAGCCTGCGAACGAAGACGTGGCAGTAAAGCGCGTCGCGGATCGACAGCATCAGCCTGGGAAAGATCACCTCGTGGACCAGCGACTCCGTGCTCGTCGGGTCGGAGCGGGAGTGCAGGGGGGCCCACACGCGGGAACTCGAGGCAGGGGAAGCGACGACCGCATGCAGGGTCGTCGTGTCCTCGCCAGCCCGCTCCAAGCTCTCGACGAGGTCCGAGAAAAGCCTCGTCAGGTCAAGACAGGTCCGCTACTCCTGCCTCACCCTTCGATGGCCTGGCTGCCGAGTGGGAGGGTTCTTCGCTGTGACCCGAAGGGCAGCGCGGGGTACAGGGCCTGCGCCACCTCCAGCAGTTCCATGGGAGGTGCGAGGGGGGGGGGGCAAGCCCATACATCCGACATTGAAATCTTTCAGCTTGCCCACGCCGTGGGCCATGGAACTCTGGACCTCATCGCCACGACTGGCATTCGCTGCGGGTCACTTGCGCAAGCCTGGACCCTGGGTTTGAGAGCAGCGCGGTCGGTGTCGTTTTGCTCTCGCGGCGCTAGACCACTGTGCGGGGGCAGCGGAATCTCTCAACGACGGCCTGCAATTTCCAAACTGCTCGCCGGGGAAGCGGAGCGTGCCCACGACGCACAGCACGTCCCCCAGCGAGCCCCGCCAGAATTCCTCGACTAGACTCTCGGATACGCCACTCTCCGCGGCCCTGATCTGCACCTTGAGTTACGTCGGGCATGTCCTTCTACAGGCGGATTTCAAACGAAAAATGCAGAAGAAATCAAAAATAGCACACATAACTAAAAATACTTGAAAAACCGTCCCTGGACAAAGTTTTGAGTATTTCTGAATTTTCCTCTTGTAGAAGAACATGCCCGCCTTAAAACTTGGGGGAACGATGAGCCACACCGAGGAGGGGGAGGACGGGGTTAGTCAGAGGAACCACAAAGGCGGCATAACTTTAATAAATACTCGACGGTCCGAGCAGACATTTCTTGGAACTGCGCTGGGCTCCGTTCCCTGGCGCGCGCAGCGCGCCAGGGGACGCGCCGGAGGCGCCGCCAGGGGGGGCCGGCGCAGATCCAGGAAGTCCGCGCGGAGCGCCGAAGGTTTATGCTTCTGCCGTCTGCTCTCCTGCGGCGGCACGGGGGGGGGGGAGGACGGGGAACGCGCAGGCACACCCGGGGCACCTCGACCCTCCGAGGGGCAACGCCTGGGAGCCTCCCGTACCCTCCCGTCGGCTCTTGCGGATCGACGCTGAGTCGACGCTAAATCGACGCTACACCGGCGCTATCTCGTCGATTCCCAGACGCTGATCGACGCTGAAGACGGAATGAAGGGGGCATGCCGGGCGCCCATGATGTGCGACCGAATGACCCCACGCAGGCGACGACAGAGCCAGTGCGGCGGCGACGCCGACGACGACGCCCTTTCAGAAACCCTGACCCCGCCCAGGGCCGCGCAGACCCGGACACGCTAGACCCCGACACCCAACATCCCTCGAAACCTATCTTTCCAAACGGCGGCACGAACAAAATACTGCACTGCAGCATTTCCAGCATCTCTATGTTCTGGTTTTCGGGGGCCTGATTTTATTTAGGTGATAATTTGGGCGCCCGAGTTATCCGGGGTAACTCGGGTCTGGGGTAACTCGGGTTTGGATTCCCGAAAAACGAACCCGAGTTAGCCCTGACCCGAGTTACCCCTGATGATGTGGGGTTCTGGACGCCCGAATTGTCCGGGGTAAGTCGGGTCCAGGGTAAGTCGGGCTCGGATTCCCGAAAAACGAGCCCGAGTTAGCCCTGACCCGAGTTACCCCTGATGATTCGGGGCCCTGAATAATAAAACAGGGCTCGGATCGGGATAAATCCGCCGACCCCTTGGGGATCATCGGCGTGTGAGATGCTTCCCCCTCCCCAAACCCCTCCCCCGGGAGCCCGGTCCGGTCGATTTGGAGGGGGGGGGGGGTCCGGCGCGAGCGGGGGGGGTCCGGGACGAGCGACTCACGGGGCTTTTCCGGGCCCAAGAGGGCCTCAAGACGGGCCAAGAAGCCCCCAAGAGGCCTCCAAGACGGCCCACGAAGGCTCCGAGACGCCCAACGACCGGTCCAAGACGCCCACGATGGCCCCAAGACGGGCCAAGAGGTCTCCAAAACGGCCTCCGAGGTCCCAAACAAGCCCCCCAAGAGGGCCCAAAGAGTCTAAAATTGCTGATTTTCCCGAATGTTTTTCGACGTTTCTTCCTTTCCCGCCTTTCCGGCTTCCCGACGCTCCAAGACGGCCAAAGAGGCCCCAAAGATAGCCCCAAGATGGCCCAAGAGGCCCCCAAGACGGCCTCCAGACGGCCCAAGACGGCCCCAAGACGGCCCAAAAGGTCCCCAAGACGGCCCAAGAGGGCCGATTTGGAGGGGGGGGGGGCCGGGACGAGCGCAGCACGGCCAGGACGAGCGGTTCCAGGGCTTTTCAGGGCCCAAGAGGGCCTCAAGACGGGCCAAGAAGCCCCCAAGAGGCCTCCAAGACGGCCCACGAAGGCTCCGAGACGCCAAACGACCGCTCCAAGACGCCCACGATGGCCCCAAGACGGGCCAAGAGGTCTCCAAGACGGCCCCAAGACGGGCTCCAAGACGGACCAGCAACGGGCTCGCGCGCGCCGCGCCCGGGCCGCGGCGGGCCCACAAGACCGCCGCTCGAGCCGCACACGCAGGCGGCCAATCCCAGAGAGGAATGAGAAACTCAATGTCATTTCCTATTCCTCCGCCTCCTCCTCGTCCCCCCTTCTCCTCCCCTTCCTCCTCTTCCTCCTTTTCCTGCTCCGTCTCCTTCGCCCCGCTCTTACGCTCGCAGCGTCACTCGTCCTCCTCCTCCTCCTCATCCTCCTCCTCCCACTCCTCCGAATACCCCAGCCTGCTCAATAACGGATCAGCCCCAGTTTCGAAATCCACAACTTACGTCCAGCATCCGCCGACCCCGCAGAAATCGAGGTGCCGTGGCGCTTCCATCTAGTGAACATGCCTCCAATTTGGCACACCCCGCACGCGGCAACTTGAATGAAAGGCCCCAAAACCCGAGTATACGCGCGGTTCCCCGCGAACATTGGGAACGTCCCTCATAGATTTCGTGGCTCCACGGCGCGCTCCAACCATAGCCCCAGTACCCGCGGTCCCGTAAACTTCCAACCCCGAGCGCACACACGCGTCGATCGTGTCGTGGCTCCAGAATGCGTCCACCGTGGGGCCCAGTGGGAAGATTCGCATGCAAGTATACCCCATGCCGGCACACCCTTTGCACGCGCCGTGGCCTCGCACATGGCCAAGTTGACCCATAATGACTCCTGGACAGTCCCCAAAAAAAACTCCCGACCGCTACCGAAACGGCTCGAAGACACTCCCGAGCCCAACCTGGCTCCATTATGCCTCTCAGATGGCCCCAGATGAGACCACCACCGCCCGCGGTGTCGCCGTCCGCTCGGACACCCCCGCGGAACTGCCCGAGACCCTCTGGCAGTGGCGGCGAACAGACACCAAACAAATACCACTCGCCTTTTCACCCCTTCGCAGCTTCTACTGCCCCCCGATTGGCATAAACAAGGGGTCGGCGGTGTGGCGTAAGCCTAAGAATCGCTCCAGAGCGTTCCGGAGCGCTCTCAGAGCGTCCTGGCACGCTCTGGAGCGGCCGCGGCGCCCAACACGTCCGCCCAACCCGCCGACTCTCAGAGATTTCGGGCTATCCCGATCCGATTTTGTCCCGATCTTCGCGTCGTTTTAGCGCGACCGCGGCGAGGAGGAGGAGGAGGAGGAGGAGGAGGAGGAGGAGGAGGAGGAGGAGGAGGAGGAGGAGGAGGAGGAGGGAGGAGGAGGAGGAGGAGGAGGAGCCGATCTTCGCGTCGTTTTAGATAATAGTGTCGGGTCCCGGCGCGCGATGGCACGGTGGCCTCGTGCGCCGGCCCGCGCAGGCTGCCCGCGCGGCGCAGCGCATGGACGCGAGGGCGGCGGCGCGCGGCCCCACGGCAGGCTCGCGCGGCGGCGGCGCGCGCAGACTTGCCATCGCTCGGACGTCCCGCTCCCGTTGCACGCTCCGAGGTCGCGCGCTCGTGCTCCAGGAGTGATCCAGCATGCTCCTGGATGTCCTCGCCGAGGAAGGGTGCACACGCCCGAGCGGTGCCGAGCAAAGGGTTCTGACGCCGCGTCGACCGTTCAATTTTCAATCGATCATGGCCGCGATCTTTTCCAAGGCTGAATTCAGTCGGGTCCAGCGGCGCTACAGTGCCTATCGGTGCTTCCCGGTTGCAGAATTTGAACAGGGACCGACCGTCCCGGCATTCCTAAGAACCCAAAGCTGTTCTAAGAACAAGCACAACGTTCTTAGAACAGAAACCCGATGTGATATAACAAGACAGTTTGAGCCAGAAATGTTCTAAGAACATTCCGTGGGAACCACAAAAGGTCCTTAGAGCATTGGTTGGTAGGACTATAGGCACGCCAGGACGCTTCGCCACTGCTTGAGCTACAGTGCCCATCGCAGCTTCCAGGTTGCAGAATGCAATCTTGAACGCCTTCGCCAGAGTCGCCCGGGCGCGCCAAACCTGCCCTACGCGGCCAGCCTGCGCCCGGATGTCGGCGCGGACGGCCTTCTCTGTGTTTTGCCCGTGTCCTGCGTCGCCTCTCTGGAAATAATTTGTTCGGGGGCCCATACCCTGGCTCTTGCACCAATTAGCGGGGAGGAACATGATGAGAGGACGGGAAGTATACGTAAACGGGAACATCTCGAAGCCGTGCCATCTCGGACTTTCACGCCTGCTGGGGCTGCTTTCGAGGGCCATGGAACTGTCCGAGGCAGTCATGCGGGCCGTCTTGGGGCACACTTGGGGGTGGCCTGGGGGCCGCCTCCTTGGCCCATCTTCGGGGTCTACACGGCCCACCTGGTGACTCGTGGAGGCCTCTTGCACCCTCATGGCAGCTTTCTGGGCCCATCCCGGAGCCGTTTTGATCCGTCGGGACTGTACGACAACCTGGACAACGTTGACAATGTTCGCCTCTCGGGGCTGTTCCAAAACACCTGCATGTAAATGTAGACAGGAACATATACAACCACCCTTCGGGTGATTCGAAGTCTCGGGGGGGAGGAACCAACGTCTTACTCAAGCGATCCCACTCAATTGATCTCACTGTCGATCTCACTATCAATATCACTATCAATTGCACTATCGATCTCACCATCGATCGCACTGTCGATCTCGCTATTGACCTCATTATCGATCACACTGTCGATCTCAATATCGATGCTGGAAACCATCTTTATACGAGCAGGACACCACCGGGGCGCCATCGAGACACCACCAGGGCCACATCCAGACACCACAAGGACACCATCAGGACACAGTCGGAACACCACTAGGGCACCGATCGGGACACCACCAGGACACCATCGAGACAACACCAGGACACCGTCGAGACACAATCGAAGCACCACCAGGACACCATCAGAATACCAATCGGGACACTGACGGGACAACACATGGGATAACGACGGGACACCGACGGGACATCGACTGAACATTGACGGGACAACGACGGGAAACAAACGGGACAAAGATGGGACACCAGCGGGACACAGACGGGAATCCACGGCGGGACAACCCTGACACCGTACGCCCACCAGGAATGGTTTGGACAACATCTTGCCTCGCCCTGGCAACAACGGGGCGATTCCTCTCGTCCGCCCACGCAACTTCGCCTCGCCCGCACGCACGAAACGAACCCGAAACCGAAACCGATTTCCAGGTGGGGGGCTCTCCGTTCCACTTCCATCATACCCCCCACCCCCGATAATATATATATATATATACACATTTCTAAATGTACATCTATATGTATATATGTTTGTATACATACATACATATGGATGTATATGTTTGCAAATGTGTGCATCTACATGTACACATATTTACATATATTTATATACACAGTAAAACCACGCGCGAGCTTCGCGGGCGCTTAGGTTCTAGCTAGGCTCCACTGTCGAACTTTGAAAGACCTATTTTCTGTGACCCAACCCTCTGGGGCGCTCAAGAACTAGTTACGCCAACGACCCAAGTGACTTGGGCCGTCTTGGGCCTTCTCGGGCCTTCTTGGGCCTTCTTGGGGCCCGTTTTGGGGCTGACTTGGGCCGTCTAGGGCAGCCCTTGGGCCAACTTGGCCCCCGCTTGGGCTGTCGTGAGGGCCTCTTGGGAATGTCTTAGGCTCTCGGGGGCAAATCTTGGGAGCCTCTTGGGCCGTCTTCAAAGCCGTGATGGCCGAACAATCGCATATGATAAGCATGTACGCTTCCCCAGGGGAATTCAACGATTGTGGCTTCTTGGAGCCCTCCTAGCAATGCTCTTGGAGGCTTCTTGGGACTCCTCGGAGCCTTGTTGGACCGCCTTGGGGCCACCTTGGGCCGTCTGAAGCAACTCGGGGCCTTCTTGGGCCGTCTTGGGCGCCGTCTTGGGGCCAACGTGGCCGTCTTAGGGGGTCCTTGGGCCGTCTTGGCGCCGTGTTGGGCTGGTTCGGGGGCCTCTTGGGAACGCCTTGGGCTGTCTTGGGGAAGTCTTGGGAGCCCCTTGGACCGTCTTGCAGCCGCGAGCGCTGAAAAGTCTAGCATTCTAAATATGTACGCTTCCCCATCGGAATTTGAAGTTCTGGGCTTCAGGGGCCCCTCTTGGGACTGCTCTGGGAGTTCTCCTGGGCCGTATTGGGCAGCTCGGGACCTTCTTGCGCCGTCTTGGGGGCCTCTTGGCACCCTCTTGGCCTCTCCAGGCCGCCTCTGGGGAGCGAAACGGGGGGGTATCAGCGGGCTTCCGCCGATGGCTGCGGGGTCGGCTGGCCCAGGCAGGGGGGGGGGCGTATTTATTTATATGATGCACACGTAATGCACACATAGGTATACACATAAACATAAGTACACATATATATTTGCAAACATATGCATCGTTATGCATACCAATACATATAGTTATACATACCATGTGTAAAACTGATGTATGCACACATATATGTATGTATGTATGTATGTATGTATGTATGTATGTATGTATGTATGTATGTATGTATGTATGTATGTATGTATGTATGTATGTATGTATGTATGTATGTATGTATGTATGTATGTATGTAGATGCACATCAGGAGTGAGGGGGCCGAACGGCCATTCATTGTCCCTGCACATCAGAGTGAGGTCCCGCGGTGCAGATCGTTGTTGTTGTTCTTCTATGGCCGTGGTTCCGCGGCGCGCGGCTATTGTGCTACGGCCCCTCCTCTGATCGCCCCACGGTAGCCCCCAAGAGGCTCCCACGTGTGCCAGACGGCCCCGAGAGGTGCCCAGGAGGGCCCAAGAAGCCCCCCAATTGGCCCCCAAGATGCCCCCAAGAAGCTCCAAAGAGATCCCCAAGAGGCCCCAAGAAGCTCGCCGAGGCACCCACGACGCCCCAAGATGTTCCTGGGACTGCTACGAGACGCCCAAGACACCCCAAGAGGACTCCAAGAAACTCTCGAAAGAAATCCGAAGAGACTCCGAGAGGCATCCAAGAGGCCTTTCTGCCCGCCTCCCCCTCCTCCTCCTTCTTCAACGCCTCCGCCTCCTCCTCCTCCTGCTCCTCCTCCTCCTCCTACTCCTCCTCTTCCTCATCCGCTTATTCCTCATCCTTCCCTCTCCCTCCTCCCCCTGCCCCCTCCTCCTCCTCCTCCTCCTCCTCCTCCTCCTCCTCCTCCTCATTCCCCTCCAGCCCCCCCTCTTGGGGTTTGACGTCTTGCCCAGCCATTCATTTCACTGCATGCTCCACCACATCCCTGATCAGGGCAACTCATCTGGGCATCGTTTCTGGATGGGCTGGTGGGGTTACGCGCTGCGTATGGAATCAAATGTACAATTGCATATCTGGATGACACGCGAAGTGGGCAGGGCAGTTTACCACCACACCATGTTAGAATATGTTGGGGAGGTTCGGGGAACAAAAGTGGCATGAATATATAAAAAAACTCGGAGGTCCGCGCAGATTTCTCGGATCGGGGCTGGACCCCCCTCCCTGGCGCGCGGAGCGCGCCAGGGGCGGCGCCGGAGGCGCCGCTGGGGGGCCCCAGCGCCATTCAGAGAAATCCACGCGGACCTCCGAGTTTTTATGTTTATGTCACTTTGTGTTCCCCTAGAGGTGGTGGAAGAGGCTCGACCCCTGGCCAGCCGCCAAGCGAGCAAACACAAGAAAGGCCTCCTGCGCACTAGCGCAAGGCTGCGTGCGGCTGCCTCACGCAGTGGCTTCCGCGGGCCGCCCACACGTCGCGCCGCTTGGAACACTGGGCGCTTCTATGCGCTTACGCGCATAGATACGATGGTCAACTTGCGCGCGAATGTCAGCGACGAAACCCGTTTTTTTGCAAGGCTCGCCTGGCGCAGCCACGCCTGGAACTGCGCGCGCGTGGACAGCAGCACAGTCAGGGACTGGCTGCAGGTGAGCGCCAACCTCCCCAATTGCCTCAGGTCGCGGGGGCCCGAGGTGTCGAAGGACTCCGTCACGATGGATGCCAGGGTGCGGTTTGCCAGCAAACGCTGCATGGGCGCTGGCGGAAGTTGGATGGCTTCCACGGGCCCGTACGGCTGCGGAAGGATTGCTGCCAACGGAAAATGAAAGCGACCAACACGTCTCGGGCCGGGCGAAAGGGAGGGATAGCAAAGGGGGGGGTTGAGAATCAGCTCACGTAGCTGATTTTCCCGGCGCCCCCCGGCGCTAGGAGGCGGCCATGAATCGAGGCTTGGGCCCCTCGGTGGGGCCGAAACCAACTGCATGCAGCAGATTTCGTAACCCCCCCTTTCCCAATCCCCCCCTTTCGTTCAGCCCGAACGTCGATCCTCCCCAAGAGCGGAGACGCTGTTCGAAACGACGCCTGCGAAGCAATACCTCCAGAATGCCGCGGAGGAGGAGGAGGGGGAGGAGGAGGAGGGTGGGAGGAGGAGGAGCGACCCGCGTTCAGAGGGGGGGGAGAGGGAGGTCCACGTCCACAAGAGAGCAGGCACGCGCGCAAGGCGCGCGCGCGGGGCCCGCCTTGGCGTTGGCCACATGCTTCAAGGGCGTCCCGCACCGGCTCTGGCCAGTGCTTCGGCAACCCTCGATCGACGAAGCTGCGTGCGGATTCGAGCACGAATGAGACCTACCGAATGCACAGGGGAGGGGGCGGAACAAGAGGACCGAAGAGACTGAAAGGCCGAGTGAATACAGTCAACGGCCAAGCAAGCTGACAGAAACTCATCACGATTCAGGGGGAGAAGGTGGGGAAGGAAGGACGCGTATGGGTCGGCTCCATATTCTTCTGGGAGAAGCCGATATCCTTGTTTGACTGCACCGATAGCAATAGGGCATGCCATATAATGCAATATATCATCCCCGCCCATTGCTTGGCACCCGAACCGACAACCCATAGCTCCACTACGATAACGCCTGGTCGTATTCCAAGAGTTAAAGATGGTTTTTAGGCAGGCAGTGGCAACACATCCAGGGAGCTTGGTACCCGGACCATACAAGCGCAGGAAGGCTCGATCAGCATATTCCATGGGGCAGGGAGGTATCCACTGTGCGAACCGAGGGCAAAGGATAGAGGCAATCGGCGGCAAGGGGATGGAGGAAATCAACTGCTTATTCATATATGCGTGTACTCTATTAGCAGGAATATCTCCAGGCTGGGGATGTATCCGATAAAAGCTCTCATAAGCTTCCTTCATCTGCATGAATATCGAGTGCTGGGTCATGATCTTGAAACGCCATGCCACGCAGCACTCGTCAGACTCCGCCCAGAGATCCAGCAGCCTGGAATAGAAATGGTAGCACGTGCTACGGGTCGCAGTGCGGATCATACAGGCACGTGCAAATATTTCCAGCCTCCTGACTTCCACTTGGTGCCTCAGCATTTTCAGGCAGAACAGGGGCAGCGGAGGAAAACTATGTCTGGGGGAACACGTTAGTAATTGAAGACCATCTTTTTCCACGGACTGTGCTTTTGGAGGCGGAACATGCGCCTGTGCAGCGTGGGCGACGACGGGCAGGCCGCACAGGTTGTACGCAGCAATACTACTGGAAAGTCCAAGGCCCAAGGACTTGATCCTCAAACACTGTTCTTTCAGCTTGGCCAGGACGGGATCCCAGGATTTTTCCCCACCATCAATGCCAACCCCCGCACCAAGATACCACCCACATCTGGAAATCATAAATCGATGCACCCTAATCCCTGCCTCCCTACATATGGTGATCGCCTGTGTGCACGTGGCCGCATCAGGGAAAACGAGCTGGCACTTCTTAAGGTTCAAAGACAGACCAGTAGCCTTACCACTTAGTATCATAATCTTACAGATACGCGGCAATACCGCCACCAGGTCAGAGGCTGTCGCGGCCAGGTCATCGGCGAATACATTAAACGTGACAGCACCTTGAAAAGAAACACGTTGCAGCCGTCGCACCACAGGGTCAACGCAGAGACTAAATAGTAGCCCACTGAGTGGGCATCCTTGTTTAACACCACGACAAAGATGGATATAATAAGGGTCAGGGCTATTGAACTGGACCACCATTCTACTATTCTCATATAAAGCCCTAATACTGTTAATAATAAATCCAGGAATACCATGCACCCGGAGAACCGCCCATATATATATATATATCCATGATTAGTGCTCGGAAAGGCAGCCTTCAAGTCGAACATGGCAGCTCCTGCTCGACGGCAGTCACCAACAGAGTGCGCGAGCAACATATTGGCGTCAACCTCTATTCTGTTGTCAATCATCTGCCTACCCCTAAGAAAACCCTTTTGAGCACCCTGGACCAGGTCATTAGCAACCATGGAGAGGGTCCAACCAATGCTTGCACTCACTAGCTTGTTGTCCGTATTAGGAAGCGAAGGCGGCCTAGTCTCGTCAGCGCTGCGGGTGATGGTTTCACCCTCTTGTATGTTCCATTTCGGTAAGAACGCTGCCGCACTGTCGTTAAAGTCGGGCGGCAAAGACTGGTTGTTGACCAGCTCGATATAGACTGCATATAGACAACCCACACCAATCTCTAGTAAGGAATCCCATCTGACCCAGGGGACGAATCAGTTTTTTCGCCCAGGACCTCCTCAAGCATGACTTCAGGAATAATCCAATGATAAATCGAACCAGAGACAGAGAAATACTGATGTGGGTCATCTGGAATCGGCGAAATCATAGATGCATGCGTGTCAATCATCTGCCTATCCACTTCACGCGCACTAGAGATCCCGTTCCAATGGTCGGCCAACAGGCGGGAGCATTCGTTTGGATCGCTGTGGGCCACGCCGTCAGCATCCGCCACCTGCTGGAGAAAAATCTGGCGACGCGACCTTTTCCAGGCCAGACAAAGCCGACGTACGCGAGCAAGAGCTTGCGCGGCACGGGCTCCGCCACCATCCCCATCAGCCTCCGCGCGAGCAGAGACTTCGCGGGCCCGAAGGTTCTGTCGCATCAGGTCGGCAAAAAACAGGTCGAATCCTGGGCGGCCAGTCCACCGCAGCTCCTGGGGATCAAGATACCTGCAGAGATCGGGGAACCCATGGAGGCCCTTAGACACCTTGCGAAGGCCCCCACCCCGAGCACCCCTAAGAACACTTAACATACACGCCAGTTTTTCCTTCAACCGTTTTGGCCCCCTTTAAACGCCCAATCCTTGACGCGCTGCGCGACGTATCGCATGGCCTATTTAATTTCCAGAAGACGGGTAGCTGGTATCTCCGAGAGCGCCTCTGGATCCAGAATCTCCTGGAGCTTGATGCTGAACTGAGAGTGTCTGCTAACCCAGCTAGGAATCCTGGTAGCACCCGAGGGGGCCCAAGAGGCAACCGAAAGAAATACTGGACAGTGGTCTGATGGGGCCTTGATGTCCGTAATTGGCCAGTACGCCCCCGTGCGCGGGCACAAGTCTAATATATCTTGGGACGCCAAAGTCGTATAGATACGATCCAGTCGTGCAAATGAGACCTGGGAAGAAAGTCCTTCAGCGCCCTTCCAAGCGCCGAATGATCCTGCGCGCGCCCCCCTCTTGCACAACTTCCCCCAGCTGGCCAAACGCAACAAGAAAATGGTTAGCCAGCCGCGAGCCAAGTGGGCCATCCAGGCCTGTATCTGTGTGTAGCCGTGATTCCCCTGTTGCCGTAAAATACCAATCTCCCAAGGCGAAGCCGATCGAAAGCGCGGAGGGAAGAAGAGCGCGATGGATGCGAGCGAACATCCTCCTGACCTCCCATTCCTGCCAGTCAGGGACAACATGCACACTGATTATCTGGAGGCCCCCATGAGGACTTCGGAGAAGGAGAGAGGCAATACGACCAGCACAGAGCGGCTCGAGCTGCACCGAGGTAAACTTTGCCAGCAGACGTCGCGAGACGAAACAGAGTAGGCCACCAGCTGACGCGGTCGCGCAAAAAGAGCCGACCAACTTATGGGATTTGTAATCTTTTTCCAACGGATCAAGGTCTGCTTCAATACCGTGGGACTCCTGAATACACACCACCTCGTGTTTTTTTTTTTTTTTTTTTTTTTTTTTTTTTTTTTTTTTTTTTTTTTTTTTTTTTTTTTTTTTTTTTTTTTTTTTTTTGTTGTCCTCCCTTCTCCAGCAACGTTCTCAAACGTCTGAACTTTTCCCGAATGACATTTTGGCACGTGAATACCGATCCCAGAAGAGTCTGAACGTTCCAGGTGCACACGCTGAGCCGTTGACCCACTTCGAAAGGACGAGAGAGGGAAGGAGGAGAGGGGAACTGACTGCCTGGCAAAGACGATTGACTGCTGCTGTCACTGCCGCTGCTACTATCTGAATTATCTGATGACTCATAGCCTCCAAACGAGGCTGGGGAAAAACAAAAAAACTTCTGGTCTCACTGGGCGACCCCTCCGCCTCACTGAGACCACCGTGCATTTCACCCCTATGGTCACTACGATGATGCCCTTGTCGTGCACCTCGCAGCTGCGCGCGTACCTGCTCGATGATCGCGGATGCTTTCTCAGCGCGGATACCCCACTCTGCGAGCTCCTCATGGATTGGTATGAACTCCACATCCGCCTTCGATTTGTCCTTTGCTGCGACAATCTCCCACACATCGTCCTCGTCACGTACCAGGAGGACCCCTTTGAATCCATTCACTCCCAGGCGGCAAGTGGGACCCCACTTTGGACTCTTCCTCAACTCCGTCTGGAAAGGTTCGTAAATGCCGTTGAACGCTCTCTGCCGCATTCTCACATCCACTGGTGGGTCGGCACGACAGCGAATCGATGCATACTTGTGGGTACGATCATCTAGGAACTCGTGACCGCCATCCTCATTGCACCTTTGCTGGAATGTCTTGGCTGCAACTGCAGTCGGGAAGGTGATCTTGTAGCTCTGCGAAATACCATGGACGAATGTGGTGACGCCTCTGAGTAAATGGCCGTAGCGAGGCAGCACCGTCTCGTTGAAGTGTTTTTCCCTGGCCTTCTTCAACAATGGCCTCGGGAATGTCCCCAGGAAACGAACACACGCATCTGATGGCGCTTGACGACTATGTCCAACTCCTCCCCCGCCACCAGCAGTGCGGGCGGGACGATCACCCCCCTCCTCAGTA